ATATTAGGCAAGTGCTCTACCACTACACTATATTCTCACCTGTGGATAAGCTAATCAAGCAGAAAAGTATTTTAAGTCTTCACAACATGCAAAGCTGCTCTTTCAGAATAACCTCAATGTTATTTGATTGTGTGGCCACCCAGTCATTCACTCCAGATACATGTTCAGTCTGCATCCTTCTAAACTCTTTAAACCCACCCCTCAAAAGGACAGTTTCTAAGACAAATAGATACCACCAAGAAAGGAACAACGCCACACTCACTAGAAAATGTTCATTAAATATTTGGAAAATCAAGAATTTCTTTTCTGGCTGGGCGTTGGTGGTGCACGCCTTTAATCCCAGCACTCGGGAGGCAGAGGCAAGCGGATCTCTGTGAGTTCGAGACCATCCTGGACTACCAAGCGAGTTCCAGGACAGCCTCCAAAGCCACAGAGAAACCCTGTCTCGAAAAAAACCAAAAAAAAAAAAAAAAAAAAAAAAAAGAATTTCTTTTCTAATGTGCAAACTCAAACCTTTCTGCTGCAATTTTTATCCAGCCAGGTTCTTTGTTAAGTGTTAGACTTCAATTTTAAAAACAAAAACCGAAAATAATACAAAACAAAAATTGCTTCAGCTTAGAAGAAAATAGTCTGTCTAAATAGGGCCAACCCTCTCCATTTTCAATGTAATTTGCATATGATGCAATGCATATTGTGTAATATATGGTGATATGTTACATAAAAGGATAGAGTGTGTGCTGTTCTTCTATCTCCTATTTCCATATTTTAATATGCTAGTCATATTAAAAAGCAGAAGACTGACTCATACTATTTCAGAGTGTGCATGTAATGTTATTATCACACATCTATGGAATTCTCTATGGTTGATATTTTCTTGTTTGCTTTAATCCTCCTAACACTGCATCAGGGGAAGTCATATTAAACCCATTCTTCTTCTTTGGGGCTGAGACTTAGAGAAGTCAAGGAACTTGTCCTCATATTTAAAAATGGCCAAGCAGGGACTTGAACCCAAGTATCCCAGACTGGAGTCTAGGACTCATCGCTCCACAGCATTGTAGCACCAACCACCTAAAGTCTCAGTGGGATTAATGACATTTGAATCATTTTACAACCCAAGAAACAATAGTGCATCCGTATTGCATCGGTTCTCCTGCAACAGCAAGACGCTGTTTCCTACAGAGGGAAAATGATAACCTGATTACATATTCTTCCTATTCTGAAGTGCCGGCCTGTGATCTTGAGATTTTGCCTCTCACAATTTGGGCTGGGGTGAGCTTACAGATGCGCTTGGGGCCTTAATGATAGAATCCTAAGACAGATTTCGCCAACTCCCCCTGCTTTTTACTTAAGCAGCTTCTTCAACAAGGACCAAAATCTGAGATGTAAACTTTTTTTTTTTTTTTTTTGAGACAGGGTTTCTCTGTGGCTTTGGAGGCTGTCCTGGAACTAGCTTTTGCAGACCAGACTGGCCTGGAACTCACAGAGATCCACCTGCCTCTGCCTCCCAAGTGCTGGGATTAAAGGCGTGCGCCACCAACGCCCGGCTGAGATGTAAACTTTTAACACATTCTTCTTCTGTTGGACTGACTCCCACGTCTATATTCTCAGCATTAGGACCAGTGCTCTCAATGAATTCTAGGCCAGGCATATTAGGACACCCGCAAGACCAGCACTAGAGAGGCAGAGACTAGAAGATCAGGAGTTCAAGGCCATCTTCAGTTACATAGGAAACTCAAGGCCAACTTGGGCTACAGAAGAGTCTGTCTTATAAACAAAACAACAACAATAACGATAACAACAAGAACAAAGGATAATTTCAGATCTAAACATGCCCACGTTTTATATATGTCTAAGCACATCATACGTTTGTAGGAAATCAACTTTATTTCGTTTTGGGGCTTGGATCTACTCAGACTCTCAGGTGAATTTCAGTAGATCACTTAGAAAATTCTATACTCCATGGGTTACTCCAGCCAGTGAAACTATGAAAGAGAATTGGGATCCAGGGGGATTGAACTGCTAGGTTTCCAGTTCTTTCTGCCTGAATTTCAAGAGCCAGCAGGAGTTTAGGAGCACTGAGGGTTTTGTTTGCTTTTCTGTTTCTTTGTTTGAGACAGGCTTTCCTTACACGGCCTTGGCTGTCCAGAAACTTGCTGTGTAGATCAGGCTGTCCTTGAACTCACAGAGATCCATCTTTTTCTGTTTGAAAGTGCCGGGAGTAAAGACCTGTGCCCCACACTTGGTACTTTTGCAAGGTTTTAATGTACTTGCTATCAGAAAGAAGAGTGGCAAGGGAGGCTGAGCTAGACAGCACACCACATCTAGAGAAGTGAGGCCCAGACACCAGACAGTCTCTGCCATTGAATTTGACCCAGCCTTTTTTTCTTTCTGTCATTAATAACTGACTATAGGTGATATTGACTTCAATGATTACAGGGGAAATGTATTTTCCCAACTCCCAACTTCCAGACAAATACATGCAGTTTATTAAGCACCTTTGGAATTTACTTCTTCCTTTAGACTCCAAATTGGTTCCTAAACTAGGTCAATGGATTGGGAGAGAAAGCTCCTCCTGGGATGAGGGAAAGGCAGGGAGTGAAGCAGGACAGTCATGCCACACGTGGGCCTAACTCAGGTTCAGGGATGATGCCTAGTCCTCAGACTCAAGGGTCCCATCCTCCATGGAGAGCATTTTCAAACAGGAGGAAAAGCTGGAAGGAAACTACAGTGTTGCCCGCTCCCCACCCCCAAGCGTGAATGAAATAGAAAAAGACCTGTCCCCTCCCACCTCAATAATCATTTTTCAAGCTTCAGGCCTCTGCAGGCCACCCATCTCATCTCCATTTTCCTTTTCTTTGTCTGCACACATCCCTTTGGCAAGTAAACAACCTCTGCTTTCCCCACCCCTTCCCCTCTCATCTTTCTTGAAGAAGTACTTAACTAGTTGGTCCCTACCCTGCCCCACCTGTGGGGAGGTCTAAAACAGAACACAGGGGAAGAGGGAATGGGGTGAAGAATCAAAGATGTGTTTTGAGCTCTTTCTCCTTGAGGGCTTAGCAAGACTCACAGCTGCCAGGGAAAGGAAGGCGGTGACTCTGATGATGCAGACGGAGGAGGGGGGGGGGTGACGAGAGAGCCAGACCAGGGCCACTGGGGGGATGGGAGCCAGCAAGGTAGAGAAACACAGATGGAGACTAGGCTGGGGGGCCTTGAAGACAGGAATGCATGCCTGGTTTTTTTAGGATAAGGAAACCTGAGAGGTTTCAAAGGTTGCTCCAGACTCATCCCACCTGCTTGGGCTTCCTCCCCTGAGCACCAGTGTATACTGAGAGCCTTCCCTGAACTCTTGCCCTCCTGGACTTGCCCTAGCTCAGGCCCCAGGCCTGTGGCCAGGCAGACACTCTGACAGGTTACAAATGAGAGTGGGTGTTGGATTCTTGTCCTTAGAGTCCGGAGGAGGAGAATCAATGGGCTCTAGCCAAGAGCTTCTCTTCTAATCCCAACCTGCCTCTAAGACTCTGAGCAAGGCACTTCCTGTTTCCCTCCCCCAATTTTAACCCAACAGGCAGAAAAAAAGGTGAAGTCCCACTTCTAAGCCTTAGTTTAGAAGTCAGGCATCAACAGCTCTGCATCAATTCTCCCATTCTCCAAGCAAAGTAAACTCAGCTATTCTAGAACATTCAAGGAAAATTTGGGTAATCATTAATGCTCAACTAGCATTGGATTTATGGATTTGAGTCTTGAAATTGAAAAAAAAAACTTTCAGGGAGACTGAAGATGAGAGAGAGAGAGAGAGAGAGAGAGAGAGAGAGAGAGAGAGAGAGAGAGAGAAGGAAACCAGAGGAATGCAGGGTCTTTACTAGTTTTAAACACGTTTGAACAGAGAATAAAAATTCCCTTCCTCCTCTTCCCCCTGTAAACATCACCTGGTTCTGCTAGTTGCTGCTCTCTGGAGAGATATAGGGAGTTATTTAAGTCTGAATGAGTGAGCCAGCTACAGCTATGGATGGCTAGAGAGAGGATAAATACATCTAGAGAGATGAGTTGATGGATAGGTAGGGAACAAATATAAATATGGAGAGAGATGGACGAACAAAAAGATGAATTGAGACAGAGAGAATATAAAGAGAGGCTGAGGGAGAGAAATGGATGTGTGAATGAGGAGAGAGCGTTTATGCAGAGAGACGGAGAGACAGGAACGGGGCGTTTCTCATCTTCCTACTCAGGTTTCTGAGGTCCTTGCTGCTCCCCTTGAAATGCCATCTTCCCATCCCTTGATTCCTAATGAATTCTTCTGGATTTTAGAGCCTGGCTCACACCCTGAGGTGTTTTTACAGCCTCCCTCCCTTCCTAGTCATCCTTTTGTCCCAAGATAACATACCTCACCAGGCTGCCCTAGCCAGTCATCCCAAGACAAACTGGGAGAAGGAAATATGGAATGGGGGTTCTGGGCAAAGCCAGGAGCCTGGCTCTCCCAATCTCTGGCTCTACTGCCTTGGGTGGGGGTAGGCTTCTTCCAGTGGAGAAAAGAGTGAGGGGCAGCTGGGTTGAATTTGTCCAAATCTAATAATCCAGGGACCCATTGAAGGCCTTGGGGGTTGGGAGGGGAGTAAAGTCTTGAATATTCTTCTAACTTCTCCCCCCTCTCCCTCTGGTCCCTTCTTTCCAAAAAGTCTTTGAAGAAAGATGTTTTTGACGCTTCCATGTCGCTCTCAGATGGATGGGCTGAGAGTGATTGAAGTGTCTTTGTCATGCTAATGCTTGGGGGGTGATGGATGGGCGCTGGGGCTGCCAAACTCTGGCCCGCTTAGCCCATTGGCCTGAGAGAGATCACATGTGCCCCCCCACCCCCACTCCCTATCCCCTTCCTAGGGGAGCGCTGGCCGGAGCAAGCGGGCCCAGGCCATGGACTCAATCCTCAGAGCTGTGACATACTGCCTAAAGGTTGTAGGGCAAGAGGGTGTCTCCCCCAAACTGCCGGACCCTCCTTCGGCCTCTACATGGACTATAATAGGATGAATTCCTTCTTAGAGTACCCACTTTGTAATCGGGGACCCAGCGCCTACAGCTCCCCAACCTCCTTTTCCCCCAGTTCAGCTCCAGCGGTTGACAGCTACGCTGGGGAGAGCCGCTATGGTGGAGGGCTGCCCAGCCCAGCGCTCCAACAAGACTCGGGGTATCCTGTCCAGCAGCCGCCTTCATCCCTGGGGGTGTCCTTTCCCAGCTCCGCTCCCTCGGGGTACGCCCCAGCGGCCTGCAACTCCAGCTATGGGCCTTCTCAGTATTATCCTGTGGGTCAGTCGGAAGGAGATGGAAGCTATTTTCATCCATCGAGCTACGGAGCCCAGCTAGGGGCTTTGCCAGACAGCTACGGAGCGGGTGGAGTCGGTCCAGGGCCATATCCTCCGCCGCAGCCCCCTTACGGAACTGAACAGACGGCAAACTTTGCACCAGCCTACGACCTCCTCTCTGAGGACAAGGAATCATCATGCTCTTCAGAACCCAGCAATCTCACCCCCCGGACCTTCGACTGGATGAAGGTCAAGAGAAACCCACCTAAGACAGGTAGGGCTCAGTGTGGTCACTTCCTCTCCTTGGCCCAGGCATGCACAGAGGGGCCAGGGTCAGGGCATCCCTTCAGAGGCTTTGGTATTGGCAGGTAAGTACTTTCCGATCTTAGGTCAGCTGAGATTTCCCCATCGAGTAAATTTGGGGCCACCTCCTTAAGGAGGTCTCCACAATGTACTTACTTCCTTGTTTGGAGGCAGGAACTCACGTTTCTGTCTGAAGGTGAGTATGGGTGGGAGCCTGGTTCTAGATTTGGAAATTGCTAATGGAGGGTGTGTGTTGTGCTGCACAGGGACTTAAGTTGGGTAGAATGATGAATGAGGATACAGAGTGGACTGGGAGGAGTGGAGGGGAGGGAGAAAGAGGTGAGAGAACTGACGTGGCTTTTCTCCCCGCCCCGCCCCTAGCGAAGGTGTCGGAGCTAGGACTGGGCGCTCCCGGCGGCCTCCGCACAAACTTCACCACGCGCCAGCTGACCGAGCTGGAGAAGGAATTTCATTTCAACAAATACCTGAGCCGTGCGCGGAGGGTGGAGATCGCCGCCACCCTGGAGCTCAATGAAACGCAGGTGAAGATCTGGTTCCAGAACCGGCGCATGAAGCAGAAGAAGCGAGAGCGAGAGGGGGGCAGGGTGCCTACAGCACCTTTAGGCTGCCCCAAGGAAGCGACTGGAGATGTCTCCGACCAGTCCACGTGCACCTCCCCGGAAGCCTCGCCCAGCTCCATCACCTCCTGAATTGAACTATCTGGCTTCCACAGCTGGACCCAGTCCTCTGGTAGACTCTCCCAAACTTCACAGCCCTGGTGATCCTCCTCAGGGCGGAGGAACCAGTTTAGAGCCGCCTAGGAAACTGGGCAGGAGTGGGGAAACATTTTTTTTTCTCAGATCTGGGGGTGGAGGGATGACTGACAGCTGGGGATCCTACAAGTCTTGGGACCTGGGGAGTACCCAACCATTAAAGTGGTGGAGGGAAGGTCTTTTGGCTTTGATCTAGATATTGGCTCAATGTCAACACCCCAGTGGGGGTAGGAGCCAGCCCATCCTGGTTTCTCCTTTCCCTTCCCACTCAGTTCAGTGCCTTTGAGCTTGGAGAATTCTCTTTGAGCACGCTTACCCCAACTTCCCTTCCTAGGCCTGGATAGAGAGAATCCTCGGGATGTTCCTGCGAAGGATGTGTCTGAGCACAGGCATATTACCAACAATCTTTAATTTTAATCCTTAATCCAGCCAATTTACCGCAGACCTCACAATAGCACCGACTGCCTTGTGATATACCAAAAAACCCCACCCCAAGCAATCCCACAAGCCCTAGCCTGGCACATTTCTATTGCACTAAAGTGGCCTTCAGAGGCTGTTTTGTGAGACTGGCCTCTTCCCATTGGCAGCTCCATCACTGAATCACCAAAGTGTTTTGGAACTTGGCCCTACAGAGATTTCTGGAGCATCATCCCAAGGACTGACTAAGAAAGGGTGGACACTATCCCCTCCTCTCCCCTATTTATTGCCTCTGGAACCCTCCCATTTTCTTTCCCATAAGCCTCCCTATCCCTAGGGCAGTCTGGGCAGGTCTAGGAATGGTGACTGAGTTTCCAGCAGATTTGAGCATTTCTCTGAACCTTGGAGACAGCAGAAAAGCCTTTGGAGTTTCTGGAAAACTAAGCCCCAAGCAAGCCAGGTTCTCTTTGTATCTGCAGCTACCTCATTTCAATAAAGTCTGTTTCTCTCTTTCTTTCTGCTTCTGCTTCTCCATGCTTGGGCTGGAGGAGGCTGTGAACTTCTACCAGCCCATTGACTGGTCGGGCCAGGAAAAGTTGAAATAATGAGGACTGACATAGCCCCAACCAAGGCAGAAGTGGGCCCCAGACACCTAGTAGTATGCTTGGGAGAGCCCAGAAGCACAAGGTGGAAGGACTAAGAAAGGGTGGACACTTCTGCGATGGTCTTGAGAAACGGGTGGGGAAGGAGGAAAACAGATCTGTTCTTGAAAGAAGGTGTGAGGGGATTGTGGGGGAGTGGCCGAGGGGCTCTACCTGCTGCTCCCTTTCTCTCTACTCCTTGCCCCCACCTCCCCCACGGCTTGCACTGGACCCTGGAAACTGTAAAGAGAGCAGGCTTGGGCCTATGGGGTGTCAGGAAGATGCCCCTCATCCTTGCTCCCAGAGTTGGAAGATGGGTCATTGGCCAAGTCCTCCCTGGCACACACGTTAAGCCCCAACTCCAGCCCTTCCACACAGAACTATCAGATCGAGCCCAATGCAACTGACCAGTCCGTCATTTGCCTAAGGCTCAAGGTTCTGAACCACAGGAAGGAGGTGGCCTTGGAAGGGATAGTGGGGGTTGGGGGTAAGGAGGTGCCCAAAGATGGATGGGGGAGGTGCTAGTGATTGGGTAGACAGTGGAGCCTGGGGATGGACAGATGCAGCAGAGGTATACCAGGACCCTGAGCTGACCTTTTTACCTCTAAACACCTCTGTGCTTACCAAACAAGCCTGCAGTGCGCCCAGGGGGCAACTATTATCTCCCAGCCAGTACCACTGGTAAGCCTTTAGTAAGCATAGGCAGGGGGCCGTGCCTCAGGAAGCTCCACAGAGGTGGTAATCTACAGTCTCTCTGGCTCCAGAGTGCCATTGAAATGACAGGGGGCTCCAGGCTCTGGGCCTGGTCTATTGATTCTGGTGACCCAGAGATCCCCTAAGCTCCAGGGCCAGGACCATACAGCTGGGGGGCAGTGATGATGAAGACAGGTTTTATCTGCCCCCCAATCCTTTTAATTTGTGACCTGTGAAAGGAAGACAGGCAGCGAAAAGGACTGAGCACTTGTAAGCAATGCTAAGCATTTGTTTCCTCGTGAAATTGGTGCCATTAGGGGAGAAGCAACGTTATCAATAATTGCTCAGCTCAGCTGGAGAGTAAGGGAAGCAGTCAAGAGGAAGCCCAGCTTTCCCAGAGGTTGCTTTCTTGCCCTGTCTTAAAAAGAAAAAAAATCTATTAACTGCTTTTCTCCATTTAATTGAAATTGCCATCAAGCTTGGCTTCCCCAAAGGGGTCACCTTGACAGGAGAGGCCAGAGCCAGTGTCTCTGAAACAAATTTCCTCTCTTGCTTGAAGCCATTTAATACCAATTGGTTAGAGCCTCTTGGTTGGGGTGTTTATGGGGCCTCCAACTGTTAGCCCTATGGATAAGTGAGCAGAAAGAGAAAGAACAGTGGTTAGGGCAAGGCTGGACTATAAGAATGGCAGAGCTAAAGGGGTCTCAGACTCGGGATGACAGGCCTTGGGGGAAGGGTGATCGAAGGGTCTGGAGGAAAGCAGAAGGCTGGAGCCTTTGATTTTTGGTCACAGCAGAGGGAACCAACAGTTTCCTCCAGGGAAAGTAGGTGTGTGTGTGTATGTGTGTGTGTGTGTGTGTGTGTGTGTGTGTGTGTGTGTGATCAATTCTTCATTAACAAGAGGCAGGCTCCAAATAGTCCACAATGGGTCAGAGTCTTCCATTTCCTTAGATACAAAGATCCAGACTCCATTACACTCTCTTGCTTGAATGTCATTTCCAACCAGAAGCCCTGGGATGAATAGATCTACAGGAAGGTGTTTATTTGGAGACAGAAAAAGAAAACAGCAACATCATGGTATAGTCTTCTTTCACAAATGTCAGAAGAGAGTCTGGTAAGCACAGAAGCAAAAATGCCTTTTGCTCTAATTGACTCAAATCAGTGGTTTGCATTGCCAAACTCCCCCAAATAGATGCCCAGATATTTCACTCATAGACTCTTCCATACCTCTCAGATAGGCACTTTCCCCTTTGTGCGCACAAATTGAAAGCCATCTATTCCCACATCTTCATTCACTAGATTAAAAAAAAATCCTGTTTTTGCAAATGAATTCCTCTCTATATAATCTTGGTTTTTCACGGGAGGAAGAGTTCTTAGGGCTGGTTGCAAGTTTGTTAGTCTTTCTAAGAATCCTAGCCCTTCTGATCTCCAGCTACCAGGACTGTGGGCAGGGAAGAGGGACCCCACCCACTCTACACCATCTGTTCTCAGCCCAAGTGCGAACTTTCCTTCTTCTTATTTACCCCTTTCCTCAACATTTGCTCTCTCAATGTGAGGCCCTTTGATCTCTTGGGTAGAGAAAGATTCTTGAAAACCTTCAACCTCTATTTTTGACTTGCAACCCCAGGGTTTCTTTGCTATGGACATTCCTTGTGACAGTAGTACCCTTGGGTGGTTGGTCAGAGTCAGGGCAGGGAAAAGGGAGTAGATGGAGACATTTAGTGGTGATGAAGGACAGAATGGTTTAGAAAGAAGGACCATGGAAACTACCAACTAGAGTTGGGAAACTATCCAGGTTGCAGTGCTGAAATCTAAGCCCTGCTTCTTGATAGCTTTGTGGTCTTGGACAAGGGATTTATTGCTTTTATCCAGTTTCATTGTCTACTGAGTGGGGATAAGGTTAGCACTAGTCTCATAGGACTGGTGTTGCAATTGAATTACTTAACATGTAAAATGTTTCATAAATAAAAGTGAGTTAGACAACTGTTATCACTTTATAAAGGGATATGTTTGCATCTCTTTCCATAGTCCTGGTCTACTGCAGGAAGTATCTTGACAATGTCACCACCCACACTTACTCTTATTTGATCCCTGCAGGTGTATAGGACTAAGGAAGGTAGAAGAGGTTCCCTTATCAGTGGCTGATAACACTTTGTTATCTGTTTGAGCTTTCTCCTCCTTTCCCTTATTTCATCCTGACTGCTTGTCAAGGTGGTGAACTGTCTCAGCCTCTCCTCCCCACCTTCTGCATTATGGGAAGATGGACCAAAAGCCTTAACAGTCTTTTGTATTGTTTTGAAGACGAATGCTTTAAATTCTTGATTAGAATTGTGGAGGGCAAACATCCTGAACTATAACTTAGTTTTCAGCATGGTCCCCATTGTGCTGGGTGGGTGAGTTTATGTCGATTGTTTCCTTGGGGTTCCAGTTCTTCAGATACAATACAGAAGATGTGCAATAAATATTCATATATGTATATATGAATGAGAGAAGTACTTAGGATACTGTCTGGCACAGAGTTACATGTGCAGAGAGATTTCTTGTTTTATGTGGCCACAGAAATACATTTTCTATCACTCTCTGCGTAATACAAGCAGGCATCCCTTATACTGCACCAGCAGCCCCATTTGGCACTCTAGCCACAGGACTTGCTGCCAGGGAATAAAATAATTATGAATGAAAGGCTACAGAGGAGTCCCACAGAATATTGTTTTATAGTAAAGGCACCGTCACAAGAAGGGATGCTCTTGACAGGACTTCTCCATTGCATAACTCTAGAATGCACTCTCACTGCAGTCCAGGAGACTGGGGCTCTCTGTAGCTGTACCAGCTTTTTCCCTGGTGACTCAGTTCTGGCTCCAAGGAATTCTTTGCACTACTTCCCTTATTTGACTTACTCATGTCTCAGGGCTTCGACTTAAGCTATTTCCCCACCCCTTCAATGTCTGATATCTAATCGGTAGGTATGTCGTGGATACAACAGGAATTGGCAATGTAGAATCTTTAATTCTTAGAAAGCCAGAAAGGCTCAAACAGCTAGGAACTCTAAGTTCAAAGGCTGACCTCGAGGCTTTCATCCATTGTCATTGTCTTGGTTGGAAAAAAGTGGATCAGACCTTCCAAGAAGAAGGAATTTCCAAGGCGGTCAGGAGACCCGAGTTTGCTCTGCTGAGGACATCATTTGTAACTTCAGAAAAGTCACCAAGTTTGTCTAGGCCTATTTGCATAGTATTCAATACAAATGGAAATATTCTTTTGCCCCTGAATTGATTCTTTTCTGTGAGGGTAGAGGAGATGGATGTAAAAAAGAATGGAAACTTGGGGGTGGGGATGCAAGGAGAGGGATGATTTGGGTAGTAGGCATCCTGGTGAATCTATTCTACTGACTCGGTTAGAGCTAATTAAAATCGCTTTCTGTATTTCCCCAAGCTCTCACGATCACTGGCCTGGGTCTGGAGTGGTCCATGCCTGCAGACTTTTCTGCCTGGAGGGAAGCTGAGGAGGGAGGCAGCCCAGCAAAGCATGCGCCCTCTGCTCCTCAGAGGCCAGCCGCTCCCTTCAGTTTACTCTGGCTTGACAGCTCCATTTCAACCCCCACCTTGGAGATGAGGCAGCTCAATATTTACTCAGTCAGGAGAGTTGCTCAGAAGACTGGCAGGCCCTCCAGCCTGCCCTTGCTGGCTCTCCTTGGTTGCCCCCACCCCCTTCCCTTCCTGGTTCATAGAGAGTTCAGCTTCTGAAATGGCTTGCGGGGGCCCCCAACTCCCCAGCCCCGGAGAACTGTCTGGGGGGCAGAATTGCTGAAGCCAGAAAGGCAGGAGGGGCAGGTGTAGGGGTGGGGAGGAAGGGCTCTGGTCCTGGGGTCATGCCCTGCTCTCTCTTGATGGACCGGCAGCTTGGAGCACTTAGAGGACAGAATGGACTCAGAAAAGACGATCTTTTTGAAGAAAGAGGGCATAGAGAGAGCTAAGAGGGAGCTGCCTAGCCAGGTTGAGGAGGTGATCTAGGGTTGCAAAGGACTGTGTCTTTTGTTAATAGTACTATAAACCATTCCATTTAGTGAGAAACTTAGTAAACTCTGACAGCCCAGACTCTTCCAAATACACTAAAAAAAGCAAATTCAAAGAAAG